ATGAATTAAGCAAATTTTCCGCTGTCCGTTGATGAAAAACTATGTTCCACTTCAGTGTTCTAGATTGATTATTTTTCAGCATATTGTACTAAGCCCATTCTAAGATATTAGTATATTCCTATTATTTAACTGACAGCGAATTGCTAAGATGAGTGAATAATCGCATGTGACAAGCAGATCAAAAAAATTCGACAATTTAGAAAATTTTTCAGATCCTTTTGCCAAAATTTTTGTGTGTTTTAGAGTGGGTGGTGATGGAAATGTAAGTCAAGACCTAACACAATGAAGTCCCATTTCAAGTATGTATCGGAAAGTGCACGAAGCAGCCAGAAATTAACGTTGATCGAATATAACGCTGAAAATAAGATTTTCAAAGCGCTGCAGCTACGAAATGCCTGTGAAATGAAAATGGGTATCAGGCGGAGAGACGGTCATTATTTTTTCGTAGAAGAAGTAGTTTGGATGGTCGAAACTGGCTTGGCTGTTGTTCTTCATCGTGGAATGCAATTGTCTGTACAAGAATGCTATAGACTGCTTGGGATATTTCTAATTACACCCGAAAAATTTTTCGTTTACTCATACTTGAAACGTGCTGGCTATGTCATAGTACCTTATAGGGCTTTCGGAATCTCTATAGATAGCGATAATGATGAGCGATGGGAGTCTGCACCAAAATTTCTGTTTCCTGTTCATCTTTTGGATCAGTTTCCCACGGACAAGTCGATGAAATTGACAGTAACTAATTTTCACCATAACGCGAAATTAGTAGAAGTATTTGGTATATCTGAAGATTTCCCTACTTCAAACATCGAATCAATTCAATGGAATAAGCATAGTGAAGCCCAAAGGAATATGAAAGAAATCTTAAGGCCTCATTACTGGCCAAGATTCGATCAGTTCTCCATTCATGTCCCCACTTGGTCGGATTACCGCAAAGAGCGAGCAAAGATATTGAAACTAGGTTCTGTAAACGATATCTCAGATTCAGTTCACTTGCCTATTGATTATGATATTTATGCAGGAGATGGTACATTTTGTCGTAATCGTTCGCCAAAACCAATATACCGATTGTTGGTTGTGGATGTTCGTTTTCCATTTCCATCCGTTTCTGATTTGCATTGGTTAAGTTCAAAGATTCTTGAAGGGAGATTGCTAATAGCTGTTGTTCAACAAGCTGCCGTTGTATTTTATAACATTGACCACCAAACAGTTTGCCTGTAAATAAATTACATCACTCTCGATCCGGAGAGGAGAGAATAATGATATATTTGGTTCATTTTGTTTAGTTCTTTCCGACAGTAAGAGAGGACAGAATTTCCGACTAATAAAATGTATTCTGTCAGTCATTCTTTAATGTGCAAACGTTGATTATATTTCTTGATGTCATAATTAATTTTTTCTTGTATATTGTTCTGATTTTGTGCTTTTCCGGCATAAGTAATTTTAATCAAACTTTTCCTGTTAACTTAGCTCAACTCAAGGTATTTATTTCCCTGAGACATTTCTCAACCATTTGGCCGCTGTGAATTGAAATATTGAGGATTTTCATTTTAGAGCTAGCCGAACTTGTTATCATCGTGCCTAAAACATTTGTAACCATATTAGATTATTCAACTTATAAATTCCTGAATTTTAATGAAAAACTAAGAATTTGAAAAGCTTCTGTTTTGGTCTTCTTATGAGTGACGTCTTGTTATGTTGAACACAGCAGTAGAAATGTCGGTGAAAGGAAGAGAGATTTAAAAAACTTGAATATTATGCAAGCAATTTTCATTATGCGAAATGATGAATTTGACAGTTTTATGTTATCTAAAATTCTCAGTTAATTCCGCATTGTACATGTCTGTTTTCAAATGGCAGTCATTTTGAAGCGGTTAGAAATTGTATTTATCAGTAATTTTTATAGATTTGAATAAATTTTTGATTTTTATTTAAGTGGATTCTTACGGTGGTAGTGGTTCATGCTATAATGTTGGATATCTGTTTAGTTAGATAATGTAGATTCCTACCTCAATTATATTTAGTTCGCCATAAAATTCTTAGTTAATTTTGCATTGTACGTGTCTGCTTTCAAATGGCGGTCATTTTTTATCTTGTGAATTTTTTTCTCTGGAGCTAGTATTTTTTTCAGTTTTTAAAAATTTCTCTTTTTTAAATTTCTCCATTTTTTTAACTTTTTTCTCTGTAGAAACGAAAGCCATAAAAGTCAATTTATGACTTTTCATGACAAAAATTTATGACTAAAGCCCATTTATGACTTTTTCATTTTTATAAGTCTTTTCTTTTTTTAATTTCATATTTTTTTCTGGTACTTATTGGAATGTTTTTTTCTGATTTCACCTCGTGTAAGGATTTTTTAGCTGCTAGTTGAGTTGCTTAAATGTAGTTTTGATAGGATTATAAAATATTGGAGTAAATTGAGTGAAGAAGAAAATAATTACGAATCAACTTAAAAAATACATTCGAAAGATTTAAGAAATATGTTTAAACTCTGTTGTAAATGATAGGAGAGATGGCTTCATTGATTACAAAGTTATGGCGTTTATTTATTTGAAATGAAGGGAATTTTAATCCAAGTAGCGAGGATGTTATATCCGAGCATTTTCATTTAATTGCAAAAAATTTTGGAAAAATATCGTCAATTCATTACATAAAATACTATTTTGAAGGTTTTCATGAGTTTCCAACAATCTGGCTTGAAAGAGAATATTCACTTGTCGGAGGAAACTACTGAATGTAAGTCATTGATTTATAGATTTTCATAAAGTTTGGTCAACGTACCTGTTTCCATGCTTTTTGTTTCTGTTAATGGAACTTGCTTTAAGAAAGTAAAAATTAAAAAAGTAATCTTCCCCGAAATAAAATTGACTGTTTTTAGTGATCGAAAGTTTGGCTCTTTTGCTTCGTGTTCCTTTGACATCATCTCAGTTGTCGATTTGCGTGGGATTGCTGCAGAAAGGTGTTTCTCATCGAAGTCTTGTTGATGCTATAACTCGTTATTCTGGAAAGGTTCGGGCAATATATTTATTTCTATTAAAATTGTATCGGATTATTTCATTATGGTTTCTACGATATTAATTTAGTTTTTAAGTAGAAGCAAAAAATATATACCAAACAATATGAATTTCTATCATCCAGCTTAGTATTTTACTTTGGAGTTTTAAGTTTTAGGGATCTAAAAAGGAAATCAATTAAGCAGAAGAATGCGTCGAAGTAAGCGGCGTCGTAACAGTGAGCTGGATAAAGATGAACAAAAGTTACAAATCGCATTACAAGATATCCACAAAAAGGTATCACAAAAATTTCATTTCAGAATGTTTGAATATCTTTTTGGTACATTTTTGAAGTTCAACCTAAACATATGTATGAGAGTGATAGAATAACAAGTTGACATTGACATTGAATCTGATGTGTATTCATAGAATTTCGGAGTAAGCCAGAAAAAGCAAAGATGTTCATTTTTCTGATCAAGATCAAGTAGATTGTTCTCTGCTTCCAACCGTTAATTAAATGAAAGTGTTTAGCATTTCTTTCAGAAGGTTGTGTTCAGCTTTTTGCATTGTCAAGATTGACATCTTGTACTAGATGGTCGAGATAGCTTTAGTGATTCTATTAATGGAATAGGTTATTTAGGTCCATTAGCATTACTCAAATTAGGAACTTATTTGCTAGTTTATTCTTAAATTAGCAACTGAGAATAAGTTAACAATAAGTCAGCAAATTAGCAGCTGAGAATAAGTTAGCATTAACTCAACAAATTAGCAACTTACAAATTTTTGATAAATCTACCGGCCAAAACTCACTTCGTTTTTCAATAAAAGAATTTGAAATTTTTAAAATGACTTTTAAATATATCGTCTTCCAGTTCATAATTTTGATTTTAATTATCTATTGTTTTGTTTTGATTGTTCAAGAAAATTATTTTATAGATGAAGTCAGTGATTCCGTTGAAGAAGAAAGTTAATGAATCATTGTCCGCCCTGCAGGAATTAGTTGATAAGAATAAACTCAGCATTGGGTGCAAATTGAATGGCCCTCTTCGAAGCCGAGTATTAAATCTGTATGAAAACGGTATTCATTAGGTTTTACTCATTATTTGTGAATGTGTCTATCAATTAATTGCTTCTTGACGAGTTTTGAGAATTATTTTCTAAGACTCCGAAATTTTAACTGTGTCTTTTTTTTTAAATTTTTATTCAGAAGTAATCTTAACCAGCAAAGGCAAATAGTACGCTGTTTTCTTTTTTAAAAGGGATTTCTCATTTTATTTATCGAATGATGATTACTGAAAAATTATTTATTACGCTAAAGTTTAGAATTATATTTTCATAGAGGAAACTTTGTACTATAAAGTTTATTTATTGCATGAATTTTCCTAAGCTAAATTTGAGACATAAGCATGTTGTTAATTTATTATCCCCCATGTATGTTTGTTTGAACACTTTTTTTTGGGATTTGGCTCTATGTATAGGTCAGCCACTGTTTTGATTTATTTCATGGTTGAAATATTGATTTATGGAATATTTTGTCCAGCTAAAAAAGCCTGTGAGATGGAAGCCACATGCGTAAGAAAACTTTTGGAGGATATCGAAAAGTTACGTAAAAAGAGATATGAATTACAACGCGGTAACCTCGTGGGTCGTGGCGAACTGATGCAGATGTTGTCGCAGAATGCGCGAACTGCTCCGCTCTGGATTGGACCTCCAGATACTCATCCACCCGCATTAGTTGGTGCAATTCCAGCACCTGTATCGATGTCTTTGAAGGTTTTGTTTTGAATATCAAAACTCTTCTGTTTTCGATAAAAAGACTTTAATTTAACTTTTTTTTTTGAAAATTGCTTTAATTAGGCTGTTTATTGGGATACAAAACTTTAGGTTGGTATGGAAGTGGCCGCATTCATCGATGGAATATGGATGCTTGCTGAAGTAACCAGTGTTTTTGCAGCTTCGAAATATGAGGTTAAAGATATTGATGATGAACAAAAAGCTAAATATATTGCTCGAAGAAGTCGTATGATTCCATTACCGCGATGGCGAGCAGATCCTATGCGTGACAGCCATGCGCTGTTTCCTGTAGGTGCTATCGTGCTTGCACTTTATCCTCAAACAACATGTTTTTACAAGGTAATTGCTCAAGTATTAGATTATGGGAAGTTCATTGAAA